GTTGGGATTCACACAAATGCCTTTGCATAGTCAATGAAACACAGACATTCCTCTGATATTCTCTGCTTTCAGCTAAGATCTATCTGACATTGGCTAGAATGTCCCTAGTACCATGGCCTCTTCTAAACCTAGCCTGCACATCTGGCAGTTCTTGGTTGATGTGCTGTTCTGATCATTTTTGGATAATCTTCAGCAGGATCTATTTTGCATGTAATATTAGTGATATTTTATAATTTCCACACTCTCTTGGAATGCCTCTTTTTTTTAAAAAATAGGAATAAATATGGATCTCTTCCAGTCAGTTGGCCAAGTGGTCGTTCTCTTGATTTCCTGGAAGAACCTAGTGAGCATGTCCAGGGCAGCATCCATTTGTTGAAATAATGTTAATCTGTATGCCATCAATTCCTAGGGCCTAGTTTTTTTCCAGTTCCTTCAGAGAAGCTTGATCCTCCTTCATCACTATTGCCTCTTGGTCATACGTTATTTCATTAAATAATTCTGTGTCTGCCAATTCTTTTTGATACAGTGTGTGTACTTCTATCTTCTTTTGATGCTTCCTGGATCATTCAACATTCTGCCCATATAGCATCCTTAAACACTGCAACTCTAGGCTTCAATTTGTTCTTCAGTTCACATTGTTGTTGTTATGTGTCGTTGAGTCACTTGCAACTCATAGAGACCCTATGTAGAATAGCCCTAAACCCTGCTCTATCCTGTGCCAATCGCACTGCCTCCAACACACCCATTCTGATTAACCTAGTCACTGAATCAATCCACCTCATAGAGGATCTTCCCCTATTACGCCTGCCTTCCACCCTCCCAAGCATGATGTCCCTCTCCAAGGTGTCCAAAGTATGTCAAGACGAAGCCCCAGAATCTTTGCCTCCAAGGAGCAGCCTGGTTTAGCCCTCTCAAGGATGAATCTGTTTGTTTTCTTGGCAGACCATGGTACATTCAATACTCTTCTCCAGCACCACAGCTCAAAGGCATCAATTCTCTTTCTATCCTCCCTACTCATTGCCCAACTCTCTAATGCATAACAAGTGATTGCAAAGACCATAGCCTATATGAGATGCACCTTAGTCTCCAGAGTGACACCATTGCTCTTCAATACCCTGGAAAGGTCCCTAATAGCAGACTTTCCCATTGCAATACATTTTTTTATTTCCTGGCTACTGGTGCCAAAAGTGTTGACTGTGGAGCCAAACAGACTAAAGTTGTTAACAATCTCAGTCTCCTCACCATCCATTCTTATGCTGCCAATTGGTCCAGTGATTAGAATTTTTGTCTTCTTGACATTGAGCCTCAATCCATACTAAAGGCTGCAGTCCTTAACCCTCTGCAGCAACTGTTTCAGATCCTCCTCAGTTTCAGCAAGCAGGGTTGTGTCATCTGCATAACACAGATTGTTGACAGATCTTCCACCAATCCTGATGCCACACTTCTCCTCATAGAGCCCAGCCTCTCGGATAATCTGCTCTGCATACAAGTTGAAAAGGTATGGAGATAGGATGCATCCCTGGCACACACCCATCCCATTTTTAAACCATGCAGTTTCCCTGCTCTGTTCCGATGACTGCCTCTTGGTCCAAGTACAGGTTTTGCATTAGAACAATCAAGTGTTCTGGGATTCCCATTCTTCTCCAAGTCAGCCATAGTTTGTTTTGATCCACACAGTCAAATGCCTTTGCATAATCAATGAAACACAGATATACATTCTTCTGGTATTCCCTGCTTTCAGCCAAGATCCATCTAACGTCAGCTACAATATCCCTAATACCACGACCCCTTCTAAACCCAGCCTGGACTTCTGGCAGTTCTCTGCTGATGTGCTGTTCCAGTCATTTTTGGATAATCTTCAGTAGAATCTTGCTTGCATGTGAAATCAATGAGTTTGTGCTATAGTTTCCATACTCTGTTGGGTCACCTTTCTCTGGGATGGGAACAAATATAGATCTCTTCCAGTCAGTTGGCCAAGTGGCTATTCTCCAGATTTCTTGGCACAACTTGGTGAGCATGTCCAGGGCAGCATCCGCTAGCTGAAATATGTCAATTAGTATACCATCTATTCCTGAGGCCTTATTTTCCCCTGTTTCCTTCAAAGCAGCTTGAACTTCTTCCTTCATCACCATAGGTTCTTGCTCATATGTTATTTCATTAAATTCTTCTGTGTCTGCCAGTTCCTTTTGATACAGTGACACAGTATATTCTTTCTATCTTCTTTTAATACTTCCTGGATCATTTAATATTCTGCGGAAAGCATCCTTGATTACAGCAACTCAAGTTTTGAATTTGTTCTTCAGTTCCTTGAGCTTAAGAAATGCTGAACGAGTTCATCCCTTTTGATTTTCCGACTTCAGCTCCTTGCACATTTCATTATAATATTTTGCTTTGTCATCCCGTGCTGCCTTTTGGAATCTTCTGTTCAGCTCTTTAGTATCTTGAATCCTTCCTTGTGCTTTGGCTTCTCTGCGCTCCAGTGCCATCTTCAGAGTTCCTTCTGACATCCATTTTGGTCTTTTTTACATCTTCCCACAACTCATTAAGTCTTCGCTTATTAGTGTTCAAGGCCTCAAACCTGTTCCTGAGATGGTTCTAAAATTCATGTGGGATAGACTCAAAGTCATATTTTGGTTCCCGTTTAATTTTCTTCAGCTTCAGCTTGAACTTGCATATGAGTAGTTGGTGGTCTGTTCCACAATCAGCTTCAGGTATTGAGCAATTGACCCAAAGCTTAATTGCTCGAATGCACTAGCCCTAAGCAAAGGAAAGCAAGATGAAGGACTCCACTCCCAGAAAGATTTACAGGGGCAGAAACCGTGGGAGGCATGCTGGCTGGGGGCGTGGAAAGCAGGGAAGCATACTCAATAGAGAAGAGAGCTCCAGGTCTTTTCTCTGCTAGAGCAGAGCTGGTTCTGATCATTGGTTTTAGGTTAACAGCTAACACACGTGCGCATACACCTATTTAGTTCAGAAACCGTCTGTTTTTGCCTTTGAGTTTGAACTTACCCATAACTCATCCAGGGAGTTTTAAGAGGCCATAAATTGCATGGGAGATGACCAGTCTGCCAGCTGGGGTTGGCACCGTTTGGGCTGACAACACAACACCCTTCACACAAGGCAAGCAGATTTCCCTCAAAAAATGTCTTTTGAGCGCGTCTTGGTGTGCCTGCATTTTCTTTCTTTTTTTTTCTGTCCATCAGAGGGTGGAAGTCTATTCCATCAACAGAATTCCTTTTCACAGTCCACATTTCTATCACAATACCCTATACGAAGTTTTGCACGTAAGAGAAACCAAATAAATTTCTTCAAGACTTGCACATGGAAAGCAAACAGCAACAAAGGCAAGAGTGGAAGAAGTTAAGAGGAAAGAGCTGCGAAGTGTAAAATATATGTCTGGTGGCACCACAGGAGGATTAAGTCCACCAGGTACTTCAAGAAAGACCTATGAAAATTTTCGCCTAAAAACGTTAGCAGGCAGTTTTTCTCTGTCCTATGAAAACGTGCGAATACTGCTCAGAACATGACCACAATAACTATGAGATAAACTACATTTCCCAGAAAGCCACCCGCCAGGCCCACAACACCCCAGTCACGCCCCATCCGGGTTCTGTAGTAACCTGGGTGCTGCCTTCACTGTTCCAAGAAGTCAAACCCAAGCCCAAACCAAGAGCTTCCTAGCGCGGCAGCAGTGCGTCCCGCCATCCTCCCGGGTGCCGCTGAGCGTAGGTGCCTCCCTGTGGCCAGGGCAG